TCTCTGATGTCGAGGGCTCGATAATGCCGAAGGCTCATGTTTTTCGCCGTTTTCTCCCAGTAGCCCCTTATGCCAGAGAAGGCTACCCTGTGAGGTTTGGAGCCTTCGGTCAAGGAGGCCGAAGGCCTCCCAGTGCGTATTCTGGGCCCCGTTGAGGCTTGGGCCGCTGCATTTTGGGCCTGAGTTGTTCCCTGGGCCCAATGAACTTGTGCAGGAGAAGCAGGAGTCTATGGGCCGGGGGTTCCCGGGCCATATACTCCATCACACTTGAACAATATCATGCCTCATGCTTTTTGGAATAACCGGCAATATTGTCGAAAGTCCCTGCCAAATACAATATTTTTTCCACCGAAAGGCATAACAACATCTCACTCCAGCAAGAAGCAAAAGACATCTCTCATAGTGCATTCTAGAGCTTCAAAACAGTGTTGATGCGTCATTGGAGACTCATCCCAAATAATTAGTTGTATCCGTTCAAGTAGCAAACCTCGAGTGTGCGGTCCTTCATCCGAAAAGAAGGAGTGATGCAACATTGGCGAATGCCACATTCAATACTATTTCTCCATGTGATCTAATTGCCACAGATAAAGTCCTCCACGAATATGTCTTTCCTGTTCCACCATGTCCATACAAGAAAAACACACTGCCACATTTGCGGTCGACAGATTCCATGATTATTTTGTAAACAACTCGTTTTTTTATCTATCATATCTTTCAACAACTTTTGAAGTTCTTCAGCCATCACACATTTATTGTACTTCAATTCTTCATGAATGAGAATGTCCTCCATATAGGGGATATAAGAATCGGGGGACAGTGACATTCCAACATAGTCATGTAGTGATTTTCCTCTTTGTTGGAGAAATTTCTCAATCTCCACTAAACAGTACTTTTGAATTTCCCCTTTGTCTAGTTCCAACTCTTTAGAAGAGATGACACATGTATTCAATGTAATGTTTGACTCAAAGAATATGAATTAGAAATAATTTTTAACCACAGAAGAACATTAAAATATTATGACTAATATAAATGCGTACCTTGATCATGAAGGTTCTTCCTAATATTGTATAATATGTCTTCTGATAAATATTCCCAACACTTTTCCCACACCGACTCAGGCTTAGTCATCGATCCCTGCAGTAAAAGAGCAACAAATAAATGACGAAGCCATCATGCCTTTGATGAATGAATTGACTCTTTAATGCCATCTATGTACTCATTGTCATCCATTCACGGTTCGGAACTCTTCATAACTTCTTTCCCCCTTTACTACATTTAACAGAACTCTTAAGTAGTATTTTTCACCTGCTCCGTAACGCACAGAGAACACATGCCCAACCACAAACCCTTTTTTCCGTGGTGACCACTCCCTTTTAGATTTCTTCCATGCGAATGTAGATGGAAAGTCAACGTATGTCAACTCCCTGGCCTCCTCATAAATTTGATTTGCTCTCATCCAAGCTATAAAATTTGTAGAGTGAAGAGTGTTGTTACTGATCAAGTACCGACTCAATGGATGCATCAGGATTGTAGTATACATTTTGCTCTCCTAGTAGATGAAAGCTTAACCGCTCAACCAGAACATCGCTTATGGATATGGTATGAGAAAATTCTACACGCAGTCTCACAAACGGAGATGTATCGATAGTCATAGCACATCTTGATCTCATTGATCTTTTGTGGTTTAATGCTGTCAATAGCTTCTGAAAATGCAACATTTACCTGATCATCATCTTTATTTATATACTTGAAAAGATATTTGACTACCGTGATTGATTACACCACTCCACGTGGGGTCGGGATGGGGTTAGGGTAGTAGGATAGGGTGGGGTAGGAGGTAACAATAGGATAAGAGCAAGGGGTAAATTCGGAAACTAAAAAAGGTTAAAGTGCCGCTTAATTAATACATGGGGGTATGCTTAGTAAACGGCACTTTAAACACCTCTTTTGGTTAGTAAGCGGCTTTTTAAGCAGCGTGCATGTTTACTCTATCTGTCTTAGGATGTTTTCTTTTGGACTGTTTTCAATCCCATACCAGACTAGACCAGACCAGACCAAACCAGACTTGACTTCCGTAGTTATAAAATACACAGAGACCAGACGTTTACCAGACTAGACCAGTTCAGACCAGACCAGACCAGACCAGACCAGACCAGCAAATTTCAGTCCAAAAGAAAACATCCTTACTAACCTAACTGTGACTTTAGCAGCGAAGTAAACACCTCCTAAATAATCTACCAGACAATAATACTTATAAAAGCTTAATAAGAAATTAATATGTTATCCCATTATATGAACAAAAACCCTAATCAAAAGTAAATAAAGATAGAGGTAACATGTGTCTAAAGCAACCCCAAGTGTTAAACGTGAACCAAAGCAATAATAGAAGAACTCAACCTTTACATCACATGCCTATTGAAATTTTAAAATAGGTATTATGGTTTATGGTCTAAAACATCATGTACTATCGTTTTCCAACTTTTTTAACGTGGAATCAATTTATTAAAACCAAAATGGCGTATTGGCATCGATTTATTTCCAATGACATAAGTTTATTTGAACTTTATAATTTCATATCTAATAAGACACTCCTTCACAACTTAAGATTCAGACCAAGATGATCATCAAACAAAATCAATTTAACATATTTAGAAAGAGATGAAACCTTTATGTTTGGGTTGGTTTCATGAAATTTCTATTGTCTGTTGTTCGGTGTAGTTCACTTCTTTATTTTGCCAACTTATTATACTCGACTTTAATTTGTAGAAGATCACTTGACTTCATTTAATGCTGAAAATCTTCTGTACTTATATATTACTCATACTTAATTTCATGAATTCTTACATGTGAAACTAGCATTTACACCTGTAAGTTATATTATTAATATTAATAGGCCCCGGAGAATAAGAGGAAGGAGAGAGCCCAAGCAACATATGAGAGGAAAAAGCAATTGACAAAATTAAGAGCCCATTTGGTAACACGAAAATGGGCTGATTCGGATGATTCTGCTGAAATTTATGAAGTTCTGGCTGAAGTGGCTGCATTGGCTGATTCTGCCGATTCAAGAAAAAAATATTTTTAAAATGTATTTTATTAATAAAATAAAGAAAAAATAATAAGTAAAAATAGCTAAAATGATCATCTACAGCAATTTCAGCCAATACAGTCAGAAAAGTAACTCCAACCTTACTTTTTCTTATTATTACACAATTCAGCGCGTGAAAACAAAAGTTACGTGTTTGGTGAAAAAGTTGGTTGATAAGCCTGATAAGCTGAACAATAGTGTTACCAAACGGTCTCTAAGGCTCAAAGCTGAGAAGACTGCAGAAGAGAAACTTGGTTCTCAACTTGATATTATTTCCTCTGTGTCAAGTATTGAATGCACACAATATATAGGCAAACGATTAGAATTGTTTTTTCATGTCTAAACGGCCTCTAAGGCTCAAAGCTGAGAAGACTGCAGAAGGGAAACTTGATTCTCAACTTGATATTATTTCCTCTGTCAAGTATTATGTCCTCTTCTTTTGTATCTTTTCATCATCTTTAATAAAATATCGACAAATGTTCTCCGGCGTTTGCCCCACCGATTTTGGTGGTTTCTTACCGGGTTAAAAAAAGGGATTTTGAGAATGCTTGTATTATCAGACTAAAGTTTATATTGCTAGCTAAGAAAGTTCATTGTTATATTTACTGCTATTTAGAAACAATTTGTTAGATCTACTTGACATTTTGAGCTTTTGCGTGTTTACTCTTTTTTATATTTATAACCAAACTACCAATTACTTTCGTGACAGATGTATAAAATTTCACAAGTCCCGTTAGAGTGCGCTTATGGAATGATGGGGGTGGTGTGGATGTCTGCAATTATTGCATTCATCCTTGATTTCCTATTTTATTTCACTTTATGGGGTTGTTTGTTAATCACCGTTTTAGCCAAAAATGCTGCAATTATCAGAGTTCGAAGCGTAAGAAACATAGTGTTTTTTCTCCACACGCTAATATCCAAACATAGGCTATGTAGGTGCTCTAAAAGATATTGGAGCGGTTATTGGAGCACAATAAATATTTCTTTTACCATAGATCCCACCACCTGCTTTCTCTCGTGAATCGTGATGCTGCCGGTTTTTTTTCCCACTCAGTCCTTTCATTATTCATCCCAAACATTATTTTGAAAGAAAAGTTGCCATATTATATGGCGATTTTCATTAACCATAGTTCGACCCAACAATATTTCGATCAATACTTTTAATCTGATACTAATTTCACAAAAAACAAATCTTTAGCATTATTTTGAAAAAAAGAACTCTAGAAAGTGGGGTGAGAAAAAAATATTTGTCACTACCTTAGTCACTCAATTGTATTAGTGAATAATTTACTCACTTCAAAATAAGTGAGCAGTGACAAATACCACTAAGCTAATGTAGAAAGGATATAATGATATATGATATACCACTGAATATAAAATAAATAGATTAATTTACATTAATATTAGTAACATTCTAAATATTAATATTTCAATATGAAAATAGAAATTACACTTAACTTATCAACTAATACAATATGGAATACATGTAGGTATTTTGAAATTAAACATAAGCTAAATATATGTGTATAACCATTAAAAACAAATAATTGCTTAACATTGTAAAGGTACAATAAAATGATAAATCAGCGATGTGTCAATGAAAAGGAAAAAAAAACTAAAATTAATTTCTAGACGGTGTTGACAATAATGACGGGTCAGAATCATCAATTTGGCCAAAAATCATAAATACTAAAAAGGAGATCGAAGTTCACAAAAGCTTCCTAAATTACCTAATTAGAGCATATTTGATCATTGACAACATCCTAAAACTTATCTCGAAGAGTATGGTGGGAGCAATAGAATTTCATTATAAACAATTATCATCTACAATAATTTGACTTAAACTTTATATAATTACTAAACTTATAAACTTTGCCAATTTTTGGAATGAAAAGGGAAACTAAACTTTTGTCTTCGGAGAGGAAGGTGCATTGAGAAATAAGTATGTAATGTGAAGAGAGCTTATTTGGGAAAAATCATTTTACATTTCTCACTTTGGTTTTTAACCAATACCCGTTATCAACACACATGAACCAATCTTATTGACTAAAACTGGAATACACCAACGCATATAATGACACAAGTGTCATAATACAACTCTAATAAGATGATTCATAGAATGATAAATCAATTATTTGCCTCCATCTATGGTATCACATTACCATTATATGTCATACAGAAATAAGATCAAATTTTGTGAAGAGGGCAACTACAATTATCGGGGCCAAGATCATCAGCTAGGCAAGGAGGTTGGATCTTTCCACCCGTATACCACATCTCCCTTTTGTGGACCAAATCATTGAAGAATTTGTCAAGCATTTCACTTGTGACACCAGGCATGACAATAATGTGTGCCATTTCCCTCACACAAGAGAGTTGCCAATGACGAATAAATTCACGGTCGCGAGGTCGTTCAAACACCACAGTAATAGTATTGCTATTGTGCATTGTGCTAACTCCTACCCCTTTGAGACGATCGCTCAATTGTTCTGCATTCTTTATGCACCTTTGAGCATCATTTTGGAGCCCAATCCGACCCTTGGTGCTCAAACTATACCAAAGGAATATTGGTGTCAATCCGTTTCGGCTACCTGAGATGGTGGCATCTACTGAGGCAATATACTCAACATTCCTTGAAAGGTTATATATGAGACATTTTCTTGTTATTTGGATTCCACATGGCATTGGACATCCTAGGAACTTGTGCCCAGAAATTGTAACGCTTCCAATCATCGGTTTCTTAAAAGTAATTTTTGGTACATTTTTTAAGAAGGGGACAATAAGGCCTGAGAGGGCTGCATCACAATGAATGTAAGTTTCTTTTTCTGAGTATCCACATTCTTCAAGTGTCTCGATAATGATGTCCAAATTATCCATGGCTCCTTTGAAAGTAGTTCCTAAAACATCATGTAGATATTATAATGAAATGACGAATCACATGGCCTTGGGTTGAGTTATGGTAATGAATAATGGATACACACGAAGACATATATATGGAGTGCAAATTCAGACAGTACAATCAATGTAATTAATTACAAAATGATACTAAATTATGACATTTGAGAATAACACACACTCTATGAAATAAAACAAATAATTTCAAATAAAAAAAGTGACATGTACTAAACAAACATACAAACAAACAAACTGAGCAATGTCTCATCATCTTTTTGTTTGATTTACTTTTTTATGTGTTTTTGTAAATAATCTAAGTTAATTTTTTATAATAACAATATTAACAATGAATTACCAATAGTAGCATTGATGATGGCCGGTTTTCCCTTATTTTGAAGCAATTTCAATTTTAAGTCGGCATAGTCCATTTCTCCATCAACCGTAGCGTTGATTCCTTCAAATTCCATTCTATACATTTGTGCGGCCTTGAAGATTGAATAGTGTGATTCCTTTGATGCATATAGTATTCCATTCGGAAATACTTCTCTCCTATCAACCAATCACATTCTTGTCAATAAATATTGTTAACCAATAAAACAAAACTTTATTGAAATGATAAGAATTGTGAATTTGTGAGCATAATATATACTAAATGAGTTGTGTAGATATATGTGTGTTTAGAAGATCAGATAATAAAAATGATTTAAGTGTCAAATGTGTAATACGTAGTATGTAATAATACTGAATTACTGATATATGTGTGTAAGTGCCATGCATGACAATAACGGGAATAAACAATTTATAGAAAAATATACTACGTATGAGCTAACCCTAGCAAAATTCCATGCAAGTTTCCTTCAGTGCCACCATTAGTAATATACCCCCAATACTCATCCTTCTCAATCTCCCACAGTTGAGCAAACCAGTCCAAAACTCCAACTTCAAAATCTTTGGAATGAAAATCAACAGTGTTCTCCATGAAGGGATCACCACAATTGTTCAAGTGGTAACGCATCAACGGTGCTAAAGTCGCATAGTGGTCATACACTATGTTTACTGGATAACCTGTATGTACATAATAGGTTAGAATAAATGTAATGACTAAACCTAGTAAATATCCATCTTCTTGATTTTTACTCCGTAAAAAATGAGTTACTCATATAGTGCCTAATCATGATTATTTTTGTGGTGTATAAAGCTTAACATGCACTTTTTAGCTACCTATTTTGAAAAACAAACAAACATATACTACTCATATAGTAAGTGCGACTAACTAGTTGTAATAAAATTACAAGGTTCATGATGTATATATTTAACTTGTTTAGAAGATATATTTCTAAATAATACTAACACCATACAAAACTATTCTAAATGACTAAGTGGAATAACTTATATGAAAGTGTTATTATATTTAATGTAATCGTTTTAAATATAGTTAGCTCGTATAGTTCATTAATTGTGTTGAAGTTGTGCATAGTTGTGGAGATGATGTCTATTGTCATCTATTTTTTAGTTTTTTATTGTCATCTATTTTTAAAGTATATTTACATAATTAATGGTATCTATTTTTGAAGTTATGCTCTCTCTCCATGCCGCAAATATAATTACGGCTAAAGGGTCAAACAAGTCCTTGTGCCGGTCGTGCAAGCTCAATCCAGCCCATAAACTAAAAAAATGTCCAATTTGCACCCCGAAGTCCCGAACCGAAAAAGGGGTCAAATTTCATTTTTACACGTAAACGACCAGTTAAAAAGGTCCAATTTGCACCCTTTAACTATTAAAAAGTGTCAAAATTGCAATAAATCGAAAATAAAAAACAGAAACCACTAAAAAATGACCGGTTGTTTACCCGTAAAAAATGAAATTTGAACCATTTTTTGTCGGTTCGGTGTGCGAATTAAACCTTTTTTTTAGTTCAAGGACTGAATTGAGCTTACACGATCGGTACATGAGCCTATTTGACCCTTTAGCCTATAATTAATTGTATTTAATTCAATGTTAGAATTCACGAACTTTTAGTCCCAAAATAATTGTTTTTATCGAGTTTCGGAATATGCTTTTCTTCATAAGTATGATATACGTAGTACAAATTAAAATTAATAATTAATGATATAAGGGTAAATGAACATTTTACCACCTAGCTTAGAAAAAATATCAGCATGATTCATAACTTATACAAGTACTTCGTACGTAGTAATAACTTGACACAGATTTATATTCTATGGAGTACGGAGTATATTTTAATTCTTTGATGTACAATTTAATCAAATGGAACACTACAAAAAAACAACGACATTGGCACGGACTTGACACAGATTAATCGAGTTTGGCACGGATCATAACGAATAACGGTGACACAATGACAGTTACACGAAATTTGGCACGGATTTGACGTATCCTATTATTTTTGCCAAATATGTGCCACAGATTGGTGTCAAGTTCGTGCCAAAATAGCTGTTTTTAGTGGAACTCTTCTTTTATAGGGGGTAGTATTATTCTAATTACAAGTTAAATTTGTACCTAATGCATTGAACTACATAGATAAAACTTAAAACCTAAAGCCTCATCTTTCACTTTGGATTAAATATATAGAGATGGGTTGTATGAACATATATATTCTAATCAGTGGTGTATCCTTGATTTGTAAGAGTTGAAGTACATATCAATAGTATGCTTGACCTTGTAAGAATGATACTCTTATTTTAGAAAATTTGCTAAATTTCATTCCAATCTAAAGAAATTTTCTCTTACATAATTGAAGAAAACAAAATTATATCAAGTTAGTATTATTAAGGGTTTTAGGAAAAATTCACATAAATAATCCAACCTATCGAAGTTATTCTTATATTAATCCTGTATATGTGTAATTCCGGAATAATCTCAAATTATGAAGTATCCTTCTCAAAATGCTCCAAGGTGACCTGGAACTTGTTTAATAGGTAAAGAAAGAATGACCAGAATAACACAGTGGGCTTCTCCTTGGACAAAAATGAGGCCAACTCTAAAATTGGACAAAAAAGATACAAATTTTTAATAAATGGACCCTTATACCCTTTAATCCAATTCAACTATCCAGCTCCCTCGTCGTTTCTTTTTCCTCAATCGCACATCGACCCACATTCCCATTCCTCCCTCAATGTTCGTTTCTTCTTCAGCAATGGAGTCACCGCCGATGCGTCTCTATGGCTGACGCCGCGCCCCTCCGCCTTCGTTCCTTCATCTCCGTCGCCGCCTCCATTTTAATCTTCTCTTCTTCTATTCCCTTTGTCCGATAGCGGCCTACCTAGGATTTGCGGCTATGGCGGCGACATGGCCGTGTGACTAGGGTTCGATGCAGTGGCGCGAATCGGGCCAAGGAGATCCGGTCAGGGCGCGATGTGTCTAGGGAGACAAGACGGCGGTTCATTTTGCTGCTCTTCTTCGTCGTTGGCCTGTTGCAAGTGTGCGAGGAGCAGCGGCGAGGTGTGGGATGGGGTGTTGCGGTTGTATAGAGGCATAAGAGGGAGATGGGGATGGAAAGGGCAAGTAGGGGGCTGGGGTAGTGTTCTGGATCGGGGCAGGAAATATGGATGGGGCTTGGGGCTCGGGAATTGGGGATGGTGGTGGTCCACAGCAGTGGTCGGAGGTGGTGGCCCGGAAGTGGTCGGAGGTGGTGGCAGCGGTTGTCCTTATAGGAGCCGGTAATTGTGATAACTATAAATAGTCAAATTGGGGGATGCAGGACCGCCAGAGAGGGGATGGGCTGGGGAGGCCGGGAAAGGGGATTTAGTGGAGGGACGGGGCTAGGGGCTGGGACGTGGATGATTAATGGCAGTGCACTGCCGGCTTCCGTCGCCAGGGGAGGCAGTAGTTTCATCAGCGGTCGTGGTGGTGGCCATCGACAAAAAATTGGTAAATGGACGGCGATGTCACTGACCGGTATGTAATAGTGGTAAATTAAATGGCCGGCGATGTCACTGACCGGTATGTAATAGTGGGTGGCAAGGTCACTATGGGTGGTGATATTAGTCGGTAGGTCACTATAGGTGACGATGTCACTAGTCAGCACGTCACTGTAAGTGGCAATGTTACTGGTCCGGAGTTCACTATGGCGGGTAATAAGGTTGGTCACTATTACCGGGTTAGTCACCGCTTGAAATGTCACTATGATTTTAGTCACTAATGATTTTGGTCATTAATGGATTTTGGATTTTTTGTCACTATAATGTTGGTCACTGGAGCAGTGGTAACTGGGACAGTGGTAATTGGGACAGTGATAACTGATGATTTTTGGTCACTGGTGAATTTTGGATTTTTGGTCACTAATGATTTTTTGTCACTGACGAATTTTGGTCACTGGTGAATTTTGGATTTTTGGTCACTAATGATTTTTGGTCACTGGATGAATTTTGTAACTATGTCATTGGTAACTGTAACATTGATCACTGTACATTTGGTCACTGTGACGGGTTACTGTAGCAGGCCAGTGGGTTTGGGCTTAGCCCCTTAAGTGACGGGTTACTGTAAGGGTGTAATAGTCCCTTAAGTATTATTTAGTCTTATTTTTGGAACTTAAAAGAAAAGTTTCTTTTTTTGTCCAAATGCTTTAAATTGCTCCCTCCGTCCCAATTTGTTTTGCAAAGTCAACATTTTTTGGTCAACCATTAATAAAAGTCAATGCTCCGTATGGCTATTTAATTCAATTTTTAATAATTAAAATTTACATATTCATAAACTACATTAAAATCTCTTCAAAGTTGTAAACTCCAAATTAGAATATAATTAAAAATTGACATCCTAATTAAGTGAACAAAACGAAACTGTTTGACCAAGAAAAGTCAAATTTGCAAATCAATTTGGGGCGGAGGTAGTAGTATTATTTGAGGACAAACCGCATAGGTAAAACCTTTTATACGTCAGTACGTCACACTTCTTTACTACAGATGACTCTGCCGGCTTTTCTCTTCTCGACTATGAGTCTGAATGGAATAAATCTCCAGCTTCTCATCTGCATGCTCCCGCCTTTGGGCTATCTCCCCTAGGAGATACGGAATCCACTTATCTTTTCCCGAGTCTCCTCCGATCCTCCAGTTGTTCCAAAGCAGGATATGTTGGGATAATTTTTTTAGTTCTTTTAATTTGAAAGAATAAGAATACGCCAAGGAGGATAGTGAAGGAGGTTTGGTGTCACGTGTGAGAATGCCAAGCTCGTTCGGCGGCAGAAATGCTGGAAAACTTCCAAGGGAAAAATCTGGAAAATTTCCGGCGGTGGTTGCCGGAGCTCCGGCGGGCGGCGGTAGTCCGGCGAAGTGGTACATGATTAGGATTGAATCTCAAATCGTAATATAGTTTCAGAATCATGATTCCAGTGGTACATGGATTATTGTTACGTTTTTTTGACATGATTTAAGGCAGACTTGTAGAGTTGTAGGGTCAACTTGATCTATTTATCCATTAGGAAATTTTAACTATATATATATGACTAAAACATTCATAGATTCTAAATTATGACTAACAAACTTAATTAAACATATTTATGTATGATTAATAATTGAATGGGAGTGAGAAAAAGTAGCATTAAAACACATACGTAGTACTTCGTATTATAGTTTTCTCTACCCATTATTGAAGTTGTTTCGTTCGGTTAATTTAACTTAATGGCATGTTGAACTACTTTTCCATACTGCCAATGTATAGAAAGTTTCATAAATAGAGTAACATATAGCAAATTTTCTCAGGAGTACCATTGTTTTCTTCCCATTATATAGGACTCATGCACTTCTATTTAGAGAAGTTTTTATTCTTTTATTCCTTAATAGAAGATTTTTAAGGAGAAACTTATCACAAATATTACTAAAACTCATATGTTTTCCTAGAATAAGATTAATTATGTTTTTTTCCTATTGATTGGTCATACATCACATCAAAAACTTTTATAATCACATTTTGGAAAAAACAAGTGGTGAATTTTAATAATATTAGAGTATGTTTCCCATTTTTAAAACATTCTGATATACTTTTGGTATAAATGAATCGGGCTAGAGAACGTCCAATTTCAAACTGAAGGTACGATATACGTAGTATGTAGTTCCAATTCTAATTGAAAAAACGGCGATTCTGATTCAAGTTCCTCTTTATCTGAAAACCGCATATCTTTTACTTGTTTTCCATACTAATGTATTACTACGTATTTTTATTTTATTTTCCTTCCCTCACCGGCGTAGCTAAGGGGAACCTGACCCACCCTAAATCTGAAAAATCTTTGTACTACGTATTTTATACGAAGTATGTAAAGATTTATGGGTAAAAATATATTCAATTATATGGGTCTAGTCCATAAGGATGGTGTCATCATCCTTTTTTTTAAATCTAATTTTACATACTATATATTACTTGTAAGGCAAGGCAGCCCGGTGCACTTCATTTCCATACTAAATAAATAAACAAATATAGTGAAATTAAAGATGATGGTTTTAATGTATAGAATTGAATCATGCATGCAAAAGTTTAAGAAAGTCATATAATGCACAATAAAAAAGCTAAGTATCTTGAGTAATACTACGATAATGTATGTATACGTACCTATGTGATAATTGACTCGTTGAGAAATGGTGTCGAGATACTTTTGGAGTGTGCATTTCAAGCTAGCTTTGTCGTCTTTCGACCGCGGCTCCGCCACCGTGATGTGCATGTTCTTCCTCGCCGGGGGTGGAGCCGCCGCCATTTTGACCATCTTCTTATTTTCAACAAATTCTCCATTGATGAAGCTCTCGTTCTGAACAAATAATGGGAGCGAGGTGTGTGGTGGGTTTAGAGTCATTGACATGAAGTAATGAAGTCCTTTATATACATGCATATTGAACGTTGTATTATACGTAGTATATACTTTATACTTCGTATTAGATTTCTAGCTTGATATGCAATCGATCAATGTTAAAATTAATAATATTATTAATAACAACAATAATACGTTCGTAGTAACAATAATTATATGTAGACTGTAGTATACTGTCTTAATAATAGTATAAGAGTTTTAAAACAGAATCCTATTTTGGCAATAAAACAAAGAAATTCTCACTTATATATGAACTTAATCTTTATTTTAGTCCTATTTAGGGAATTTTCTCTTAATCATAACAATAATAATGGTAAAAATAACAACAATTATGGAGTATAATAGTACTACTAGTAATACGAAGTACTTTTAATACTCCCACCCAGGCCTCCATCCCGGAAAATTCTTCCCGGTTTGACTTGGATCGGAATTTTAAAAAGTGGAAAAAAAGCGGAAATATATGATTGTGCTTGAAAAAGAAAAAGGTCAATGAATAATAATCACACAAAACATTCCAAAAAATGAAATGTGAAGAATTGTTTGGAATGTCCCAAAAAGGTAAATGAAAATCTGGGACGGAGTAAATGGTAATATAGTGATGCAAGTTTCTAAAAATATATTATATCTCGTCTTACCTCTTCGAATGCCAGAATTCCCATGGTATATATCCTTAGCTTGAAGGTAGCTAGTAAGAAATTACAAATGTTGGTCGTCCTTTCTATCTTCGACCGAGTGATTTATTGATGCTAAATTAAGTTTACAACCGGAGAGCTAGAGAATTAAGGTGAGGTGAGATTTTGCCATTTTGGTACAGGAGGTAGCAATATATATATAGTTAGATTCCGACCTATATATGATTTGTTTGGCCAACAACCACGTACCTTGATCTGTGGTTTTGGACGTGCAAAACTTTTTCCTAATTACTCATTTCGTTGTAGGACTAAAAAAACAAGTATGTAGTACGTAGTATAAAGTTTATAAGGACAAAAATACAAAAAAGACTACTTGGTACGGAGTATTATTTACTATGAGAGATTTGCAATTTTAGCTAGTCCCATAACTTTTGATTATTTTAACTAATTATTAATTCCGTAACTTTAGTCATTTGCAAGTTTGGTCTTGTATGTAGTACCTAATAAGTTTTTGCGATTTAAGAACCCCCCGAAAAGTACACTTTCCGGCAGAAAATCCAATGCCGGCGCGGCAGCATCTTTTCCGGTATATATACTTTTGTTGGAAAGTATACTTTTTTGGGAAATGTCCTTAAATCACAAAAATTTAATTATTAGTTACATAACCAAACTTGCAAATGACTAAAGTTATGAGATTAACAATGAAAACAGCCTAAATTATGTGACTAAAATTGCAAATCTCTCAAATGTCATATTTTTACATTTGGAAATTCACTCTTTTGTTGTACCCAAGTAAATTGCCCAATATACTAGTTATGATATGTTTCCGTACGTATGTGACAATTCAAATAGAACCACATTTTGATTTTTATTCAAACGAAAATTTGTGAAGTGACTCGTCTTTGACACTACAAAAAAACAGTGCATTTGTCATGGATTTTATCAAATAAAAGTTGTATTTTTGTAGTGTGAACTGTGAACTGCAACAATTCAAATTATTTTCAAAATGCCATAAATTTCTAGAATTTGGATTTTTTAAAAATGACATGATGCTTCAGCAAAAATTAACAATTTGACTCTTTTTAACGTTTTTATAAGTGAAAACGCTGTTTAATAAATAATTGTTTGACCCTAAGGCATTGATTTAGCATTTTGAAATAAGGCATTGTCTACTAATCTCTACCAGCAAACAGCTAAATAATTACTAAACATCTTTTTACAATAATCCGTTAACTTATTCTGTTAGTCATGCTCGCTGACTAAATCCACTATTAATAATCAGCCAATACTGTCTCTATCTTGTGTACCGACTACTAGTGGAACGAGAGATTTAATATAAGAGGGGCGAAAAGGTAAAGAAACTATGATTAGCGAAGCTAAGCAACATTTAATTTTCATATTTGACTAAATTAAAGGAGTATTTACAACAACTTTTAAAAATTGTTTCTCATTTTTTTCCCACAAATATTGAAATTTGTGTTTTCAAATACATGTGTGCCCTTAAGTTAATAAACATGTTGAAGTTAAAAACTCAAAGTTGGTATAGAGGTGTTTCTAACTACTTTTTGGTTTTTTATTAATAACTCAAACTTTAAGCATCTCGGATGGTTGATTTGAAAACGTGTTTGCAACTTTAAAGATAATAGCTAACCATTGAACCATACATTTTCCTTTTACTTAATTGAGAAAGCTAATTAGCCAAACTAAAGGAGCTTCAAACTTAGAGAAAGATAATTATGAAATATAGTATTACTAATTACTAATAATAAATGGGGAAGAAGAAATTCTAAGAGCGCATTTTACTTTAAAATTCTTTTTGGTAACATGCTTATGTGACAACTTTAAGTCATAAGAGCAATTATATTAACAGTAAAGATTCTCTAACATTTGTTGTTAAGTTGTTTAATGCCGCCTTGTTAAGTTGTTTAATGCCGCCTATGACTTCTTCAAATAACTTGTAAGAGTAATCAATCAACTTTTTGGATCGGAAAGGTTAAATCACTTTCATGCATGGCGACGTGGCGCAATTTAGGTTAAAACATGTGATAGCTGCAGATTTATTATTACTCCCGAAATACTACGTATATAGCCAAATGCTCACCAGACACCAGCAATTAATTCAAAGAGTATACTCGTTCATACTTCATTATCTATCAACTACAAGTCGATATATGTCCACTGCACATTGAACATCAGATCATGCAACTTTTTTAGGTTGAAATTTTTCAAGAAGTGTGATGTTAATTAGCCTGTTACAAACAATCATTTCATCAACGACAATTTGTAGTGTACACATTTTTATACACATTTCCGTATATACACGCCCTTGTATATGGAGATAATTGCCAAGTTTTTATACTCCGTACCTTTTAGATGAATTGCTCGTGTACTGTGTACATAAACAAAATAAGAGGCGTGTACAGAAAACATATACAAATAATATGTACATATATATTTTTCCTTCGATCAATATAATCGACGTCTACATTTTATGGCCGGTTAGGATGTTTTTCTTGGACTGAAATTTACTGGTCTGGTCTGGTTTGATGACTTGATCTGTTCTGGTCTGGTAAATGTCTAGTCTCTATGTATTTTATAACTATCCAAGTCTTATCTGGTCTGAATTGGTCTGATCTGGTTTGATCTAGAACTGAAAACAGTTTGAGTAAAGCCATATATGTTTGGGCATGACACTATTCTTTCTTTCCCTTTTATTTACTTCATGCATGAGTTCAGTTGTCAAATGTTTTACACTTTGTATATACTCCCTCCGGTTCTTTTTAAACTTCACACTTTCCTTTTCGGGACGGTCCAAAATAAACTTCACACTTCCTTATTTTCTTATTTGGCAAAGAAATCTACATTAAAACAGTGCTAAACAGTGCCAAACAGTGTCTCAACAATGCCAAACAATGTCTCAACAGTGCCAAACAGTGTCTCAACAGTGTACTCTACAGTAAAGTCAAATTTATTTCCTTAATCAATGTGAAGTCAAACTGTGAGGTTTAAAATGATCCGGAGGGAGTATGTTTCTGGGCAGCCCCAAATTTATACATTTATTAAAGAGACCTTATTAGAGTTCAAATGCAATGATTACAGGAATTAGGCATGGCAATGGGTCGGGGCGGGGCGGGTATTGCAAGACCCGGACCCGCCCCGTGGCTTGGCGGGGCGGGTCCGCCCCGCCCCGTGACCTGCACGGGTCCAAACTTGTTGACCCATGACCTGCCCCATGCGGGGCGGGTCCGCCCCGCCCCGCCGCAACCTAATTAGCTAGTATGTATTTTTATTTGTGAGAAGTTGTTACCAATTGAATCTACATAATGTTTATCTCTAAATAATAATTAAAAATCAATATATTAAATCAAATTCATGATACGCTAACAATTTCAAAAATTAAGGAAAAATTACTCAAACTTGAATAGTTATTCTAATTAGTTATATTAATAATTGAATATATGTATTAAAATTTATATAAAGAAGACATTGATAATCCGTCGTGCATCTCATTCTAATATATATTAATATATTATAAGATCAAAGAATTTATGATTTATTGTATACACACATATGTATGTTGAAGTATATTTGTAGTATAATTTAAGAAAAAGTATGTATACTTATATATTGAGCGGGTCGGGTCGGGGCGGGTCGGGGCGGCACGGGTCAATTCTAATACCCGGACCCGCCCCATTGTATAGGCGGGGCGGGGCGGACCCGCCCCATTGTATAGGCGGGGCGGGGCGGACCCGCCCCATTTGCAAGATGGGGCGGGGCGGACCTGCCCCAAATGTCTCGGGCCAGGGCGGGTCATTGCGGGTCGGTTTTTTTTTACATCCCTAACAGGAATCGTCATTCTTGAAGTACAGTTATTAGGAACTTAGGCTTCTCAAACAAAAGTTAGTCACCTTTTCTAGTTTTCTTATTCACTAGAAAAATATACAAGACCCCCTAAAAAATATGGCATTCATATTAACTTTCTAAAATTATACATCATACATAATTTACGTTCACAGGCAATTAGTAGACCATCCTTGATCAAACTAAAAAGAACTACGGGAGTACGGGACATAATTATATACTACGTATTATACATAATTGACCTATATATTCACCATGCACAACATCCAACATTTCCAACACAATTATTTTAGCTTCTAGCAGGTGTTTATAAGAAGTTTAGTAGATGGGCGTTAGGCGTATGTATTTGACTTGCCACACAACTCATTAAAACTATTTCAGAATTCTTTTTAGACACACTTTTTTGTACACATGAGTACATGACACTATTTAATTTTACACACGTTTGTGAGTTGTTATTTTTTGTTTGTGAATAACTTATACAGAACATATCGTGTTTTGTCTATAAACATGATATTCATACATAAAAATATACGGAGTAATTACTACGTGTGTAAGATATATACTCCGTACTGTATAGAAAAAAAGGTGTATGCATAGTTTTTTCTGAATTATTGTGATCGAGACGTGCACTCACTCAAATAGTCAACAGTCCAAGTTATTCAACAACCCCTAATCAGATGAGGAAAATCGAAAATGAGGAGGCCGGCCAAATAAACACTTTTAGTCGAGTGTACGTGGAAAGTGGGATTGAATTTGGTTCACCTACCATTGCTTGGACGGGCAGAATAGTACAGAAATCACAAATCACAAATATATGTATTCACACCATTCAAATATTGGTTTTGACTCTCGTTCTATCTCATCAAGATATGTCATTTTTTTTATTTAATCATTTTTTATGTTAATGATGTTAAACTTAGATCGGTTTTATATTCATACATGGTAGTATCAAAAATATAAAAATGAGAAAATGTTCTTTGTTAAAAATACTATCATAAAAGTATTAATTTATTAAGTTTCACATAAATATATTAATTAAAATAATAATGGATCAAAGTTTACGATTTTTTACTGAAAAGATCAACGATGGCTTAATAAAAAAGGACGGAGGTATGGTAATATATAATTATACAAATCATGGTTATTGCCCTCTCTGGTTTAAAAATGCATCATTGTGATTGGTGAATAGGGCAAGTGTGATATATACATACATACATATATATATATATATATATGTTCATGTCAGGCCGGCCTGACGGGCTGCTCCGTCCGGCCGAGCCCGTTTGGGCACCTTCCCGGTGGAA